AGCCGTGTAGACAGCAGGGGCTCCTGCACGCAGCAGCAGTGTTGTTTCTTCTCACGACAGCCCTCAAGGTGTTCTCTCTGCTGAGTGCGGTGACAAGTGGAGCAGGAAAGACAAGTGGCGGCCAGTTCTCCAGGGCTGCTGTGTAAGCTGCTACCAGAACCTGGACCAGATCCCACGCCCACTGGCAGGCTGTGTGAGGGATGCAGGTCGGGGAGTGACATGCGCCAATTTGCAGTTTAGAGAGAGAACTCTGGGGGATGGAGTGGGGGCGGGACTCGGTCTGGCAGCAGGAGACTCACCTGGAGGCTGGGAGCAGACATCTAGCAGAGCTGTGGCACCTAGGGCACAGCTATGGGGATCTAGAGGAGGGACGGTCTGAAACCAGAGCCCATGGACTGTCTGCCAGTGTCCAGAAAAGCCAGGTCCGGGGACGCCTCCCGACCCCACCCAGGTGGCCACAGGTCTTTCCCAGCTACCAGCACACAGCCTGGCAGTGTCCCCACCGCCAGCCCCACCCCTGGGCCTTTGAGTCCCTCCCTGCCTCTCCCCGGCCACCAGGGTCTGGCGGGGGAGCCATCCCGCCAGTCGCACGGTGCACATCACGGCTGAGCCAGGGGCTCTCAAATGCCTCCGACATGGTGCGAATACACTCTTGTGTCTTTTTGCCATCTGCCGCTGTCATTAAAAAATTACATTTCCATCTGTTTTCACACTTTTCTCGCCTCCCATCTTCCCTTCCCGGAGGCATGTAGCACGAATCCCACGCCGAGGACCCGAACGTTCCCTCGCCTCTTGGAATCTGGGAGCTTCTCCGCGACGCACCGGGGTTAGGGGTAACGGCCTTTGTGGGTGACCAGAGCTGTTAATTCCTCTTAGGTCACCACTGACCGTGACCTCTGCCCCGCCCCCCCCGGCTCCTCCACACACACTTTGCGGGGAGCTACTTACAAAGCTTTTCTGTTGGTCATTTTCATCTGTATGTGTGGCTTTGGCATTAAAAATACATGAAAAATAAACTGCAGGGCTTCCCTCGTGGCGCAGTGGTTGAGAGTCCGCCTGCCGATGCAGGGGACGCTGGTTCGTGCCCCGGTCCGGGAAAATCCCACACTGTTGGTCATTTTCATCTGTATGTGTGGCTTTGGCATTAAAAATACATGAAAAATAAACTGCAGGGCTTCCCTCGTGGCGCAGTGGTTGAGAGTCCGCCTGCCGATGCAGGGGACGCTGGTTCGTGCCCCGGTCCGGGAAGATCGCACGTGCCGCGGAGCGGCTGGGCCCGTGAGCCATGGCCGCTGAGCCTGCGCGTCCGGAGCCTGTGCTCCGCAACAGGAGAGGCCACAACGGTGAGAGGCCCGCGTACCGCCAAAAAAAAAAAAATAATAATAAAAAATAAACTCCAGACATTAGTAACCATTCCCCCAGAATGTATTTCAGGAAGAACAGACTAGAGAAATAAGGATCAGGGAGCCATGTTTTGAGTTCAAAACAAGTTGTCATTCTAGACCAGCCCCAAAGAGACGCCCACCCCCAGCTATATAGCATCCCTGACCTTTCATGAAGGGACAAGTCCACGTAGAACCCAACAACCCCACAAGGTCGTGACCACAAACTACTCCTGGTAGACCTTCTCAGATACAGCTTTGCAAGCGTCAGCATAGTCACTAACATTCTAGAGGGCTTTTTAGACCCTGTGCCAGGCGTTATTCTAGGTTCTGTATGCGTGGTCATCCGTTGCATCTTCCCAACAACCTAGTTACTACCCTCATTTGAAGACTGGGGAAAACTGAAGCTCAGAGAGGCAAAGTAACTTGCTCCAGGTCACCCAGCTGAGAAATGGAGCACGGGGATGGACCCCAGGAAGCAGGAGCTAATTCAGGGTAAGGAGCAGGTTTCTGCTGCTGGCCCCCCGGGACTCAGACCCTTCGGAACCTGGGGCAGCTAGGAGGCCTGGTTCCTCACAGTGTGTCCCGGGCCAGCAGCACTGCCACCCTGCGAGCTGGTTAGGGATGCACAGCAGCAGGCCCCACCTCAGACCTCCCTGGACGGGATCTGGATTTGAACCAGCTCCCCACTGAGAAGCACTGGTTGCCTCATGGCCCCCACAAGGGACAAGGAAGGTGGGGAATCTGCCCGCTAACTCCCATCCACAGTGGGTGAGGGGTACTGCCAGGCGGCCCTAAGAACCTGCACCCCAACTGCTCCTGCACCGAAGAGAGCCCTTGGAAAGAAAGGTGCGGGTGCGGCAGCAGAATCCTGCTGTCACATAAAGGGGGGGCACTGCCCCTGCAGATGTGGTCCCAGGTACCCTGCTCTTACCACCCACCCCACATTCACACCCTCAATCTCCCAGACTCCTCACGTCCCCGTGGAATTGTGCCCATTCCCCAGACAAGCAAATGGAGGCCCAGGGAGGTTGGTGACCTGTGTGATTGTGACTTCCATTTACTGACTGTCTGCTCTGTGCCAGGGACCATGTGGGGTTTTACGTAGATCATTTTCCTTAATCCACATGTGCACCCCACATGGGAGGTCCTGTTACCCTCACTTTTACAGGTGAAGAAAAGGTTCAGAGAGGTTGAACGGCTTCCCAAGGCCACACAGCACCATGCAGCTCCGGCTGACACGCTTGCTCGCACCCCTAATCTTTCTCACGGCCCCTAAGAGGGATGCTGGGGCTGCAGTGGGGTCCCGTGCCCCCTGATGTCATGCCCTAGAGCTTGCACGGAGCAGGCCCCCTACACCTCACCCCTCCCTCACGGGGAGACAGAGCTTGCTTAAAGGCAGAGCCTCAGGGGCAGTGAGTAGCGTCACAGGGTTTCCTGCAGCCTGGGGTGCAGATGTCACCAGTAAGGGTCCCCCTCACTCAGCTGGCACCGTTCTGGGGTGCGTAACCCGGGCTGGCTTCACCAGGGCCTCCAGATTCAAGAGGCCCAGAGCCCAGGACTGGTGTGGGTGCCTTGGACCTCAATACCTTTCTTTCTCCAGGAGACCACGGGGACTCGCCTGGGCCCTGCAAGAAAGCCAAACCAGCACCCCAGGACTGCACAGCCTCTGGCCGGCCCCTCCACCTCGTCTCCAGGTCACAGCCCTCTTCCCATTGCCATGGGCACTAAAAGCCTGGGATGAAGCGGTGATGAGCCAGGGCAGGCTGCTGAGTGGGCTGGAGGCCCACTCTGAGCGGTGCCCAGGAGGTGTGTGGGCTCCTCCAGCTGTGGACGGAACCAGCCCTCAGGGCGAGCACCCAGCCCCGAGACCCAGCATCCCCTGGGTTCCAGAGGGAAAAGGACGGGGACAAAGTGTCAGCATCACATCCAAGCAGATAGGAGGGGCACTGGGAATCCAGGCGGAAAGGGATGCTTTGCCTGGACAATCAACAAGGAATATGTGCTGGGAGGCAGCTCTGTGGGGATGGTAAGAGAACAGGGTCAGGGCCTCCCTGGGGGTGCAGTGGTTAGGAACCCGCCTGCCAATGCGGGAGACGCGGGTTCCAGCCCTGGGCTGGGAGGATCCCACATGCCGCAGAGCAACTAAGCCCGCGCACCACAACTACTGAGCCCACGTGCCACAGCTACTGAAGCCCACAAGCCAAAACCACTGAGCCCACAACTACGGAGCCTGCACTCTAGAGCCTGTGCTCCACAACTAATGAGCCCGTGCTCCACAACTACTGAGCCTGTGCTCTAGAGCCTGCAAGCCACAGCTACTGAGCCTGTGCACCACAACTATGGAGCCTGCACTCTAGAGACCGTGAGCCACAACTACTGAGCCCATGCTCTACAACTACTGAGCCTGCGCTCTAGAGCCCGCGAGCCACCAAGTACTGAGCCCGTGTGCCACAACTACTGAAGCCCGCATGCCTAGAGCCCGTGCTCTACAACAAGAGAAGCCACCGCAATGAGAAGCCTGTGCACCGCAACGAAGAGTAGCCCCTACTCGCCGCAACTAGAGAAAGCCCGTGTGCAGCAATGAAGACCCAAACGCAGCCAAAAATAAATAAATAAATAAATTTATATTAAAAAAGAAAAGAGCATGGGGTCTGGGTTCAAATTCTTACTATCTCATGGCCTTGGGCAAGGGATCTAAGCCTCTAAGTTCCTCAAGTGCCCCATCTGTAAAATGGGGATAATAACAGTGTCTATGCTAGGAGACTGGATTATTATTCCCAGCCCGTCTCTCACTCCCTTTAATAGACATGTCCATGCCTTCCTGTGCCATGGGACCGCCCAGCTCACCCATGTGGGGTTTGGCCGTGTGACTTGCTTGGCCCACACGCCAAAGCTGAGAATGCTCTCGCACGGCCTGGCTTGTGCTCTGTGCGTCTGTCACAAGAACGCACTCCAGTAGCTGCTGGCCACAGAATGAGGCGGCACAGGACACTCTGCAAATCAAGGGGCCAAGACCATCCAAAGACCCATCACCAGCCGGACCAGCCCCTCCACGATAAGCGATTCTCTGGAGCCTACCTGTGTACCCGGGTGTGCACCACCTTCTCTGCCCGCCCAAGAAGCAGGGTCCACTGCTCGTTACACGGGATCTTTACTTACAGTGCAAAAAAGAAATTATAAATCGCTTTTTGGACTGTTTCAATGTCTGTAAGACAACTTGTAAAAAATGAAGCCAGCCCTTTGCAATAAGTCCTGGTATGTGCGGACCTGCTGGGCACCCGTCTGCATGGCCCCAGGCTGCTGCGAGTCTGTCTAGAAGAAAGCCTCTCCCTGGTACCCAGATGGCCGTCACTGTGCCCCGGGGTCGGCAAGAATATGTAGGCATCAGATGTCCGGTCCACTCAATGGGGCCTGGGAAATGTCGTTCTGGACGAGGGCAGGGCCGATTCCTCGCTCCTCTTGCCACGCCTCTGCTGGTCCAGTGCCGGAATCGTTCTGCCTTCCCAGCCAGCGTTCTCAGCACATCTGTCCCAGGCACCCCGGGACACGCCAGGCGAAGGGCAGCCAGGGAAGGATCCAGTGCAGGCAAATCCCCGACCCACGCGTGCCTTCTCCTCAGGCCTCAGGGTCTGCTTCTCCATCCTCCGGGCCCGACCCTGACTCCTCCAGCCAGACTAGGAGACAGAGGGGGGCGTCAACATCTGGATGGACCCCCCACCACAGCCAGGCCCCTTTCCCTGGGAGCTCCATGGCCGGTGCCTCTGGGCGCCTTGCTTTGTACCAACGCCCCAGCTCCCTGCGCATACGGCACTGGTGTCAGCCGCTTCTGAGAGGGGACTCCAGTGATGCTGGGTCTCACCTGGGTCCCACGGGACTTCCCACCCATCCTCTGCCCACATCCAGCACCGAGCTCCACCAGATTTCCGGCTGAGGTCCCTGGGATTGTACCCCTGGCCCCGTCCTTGGCTTGGCCTCTTCTGAGTGCCTGTCTGGAGATGCCTTCAGGCCCGAGGCTGGGCGGGAGGTCCCTGCTTCTAGATGGGGAGTTGAGACTCAGAGAGGGGGAGACCTTCCCCCAGTGAGCAGGGTAGTCTGGGCAGGGCAGGGTTCTCTCCAGTCCCTCGCTGTGGGGGGAGCCCCAGGCATCTGATCACCACTCAGAGCCCACAGCCCTGGAGGAAGTACTGCCCTAAATATCGCTGGTCAGAAGACCAAGGACACAGGCTGCGTGCGGGCTGTGAAGTCAGGCCCTTGACTTTCCTTGTCACGAATGCTCGCGGCCTCTCTGAGGCACAGCTGTTCTCTGTAAGACAGGGGAGCCGAGGCCTCGTTCCCAAAATCACGTGCTAATGCGTGGCAGAGCCGGGATCCAAATTCAGGGTTTTGTGACTCCAAGGCCTGTGCCCTTTCTCCTACACCTCCCTCTCTACATGGGGAAAAGCAGAGGGTCAGGCCTGAGCTCTGCCACCGGACAGGACAGGAGGGGCCCCCTGTGCTGGTCCCTCGGCACTAATCCACCCTGGGACTGCGTGGGCTCTCAGAGTAACCATGAGTCTCCCCGGCACTCACACTGGCCCTAGGAGCAGGGAAGGCGGTTATGATCCCATCTTACAGATGAGAACACTGAGGCACTGAGAGAGAAGAGAGCGTAATGGCAGAGCCAAGGACCAGGGCCTCGGCTGCCCACACTCAGCTCTCTGATTAGACGCCGAAGCAGAAACCCAGCTCTTCTCTCACCCTGCTGTGTGCCCTTGGGTGAGTTGCTGTCCCTCTCTGAACCTCAGTTTCCCCAGCTATCAACTAGAGATAAGGGCGGTACTCACAGCCCACAGGGTTGGAGCGAGAATTAAATAAGATTTGTGGAAGCATTCAGCCCAGTGCCGGGCACTTGAAAAGGTGACACAGGACCGTGACCAATGGCTATCACTACTGTGCATGGCCCAGCTCCATTACCCACACGGGGCCTGGCCCGAGCCCGATGGCTTCTCCAGCTCATTCCCCCTGGTGGGCAAGCTGACATCCAAACTGAGAACTTCTGGAAAAGCCTCCCCAAGTCCCCCACTGACTCCCACCAGTCCCACATCAGCCTTGAAGGCCCGTGTCCTCTGCAGGAGCCAGGCAGGGCTCGCGTCACGACGGTTGATTGGCTGAATGGCGGTAGCCACTGAGACGGGGTCTAGCCTGGCAGTCCAGAGCGCAAGGTCCAGATCTCACGGCCTGGGTCTGAATCCCAACTCTGCCACGTACCAGCTGTACGGCGAGTGTCTCAACCTCTCTGAACATCAGTTTACCCATCTACAGAATGGGGATGATGAAAACGGGACCTAACTCAGAGTTACTATGAGACCTCAAGGAAAAGTGATCATCATCAGTAAGTCCCCTACATACGAACCTTCAAGTTGCAAACTTTCAAAGATGCAAACGTGCGTTCGCACGTCCAATCACGGAAGTGAGTTCACGTGTCTGGCGTACGTTGTCACGTGTGTGCATGTCCTCTACAAGTGGTTGTGCGTTTGTGTACTTTACTGTGCAGAACTGTATCGAGTACAGCAGTCCAGCATCTTTACTTCAAGCCCAGGATGTCCGGAAGCAAGCGCAAAAGCAGCGGTGATGTCGCTGGTATGTCGCTGCCTACCCAGGCAGGCATCACTGGACCGTTTTTTCGAGAGAGTAGAGAGACTTGAGTCCAGCAAGAAACAAGAACCTGTGCCACCAACGTCAGGCACGAGTGAAACTGCAGCCGGCCCTCCGTCTCCTATTGCGGACGGTCCTTGCCAGCCCCTGGATGCCAGGTGTTGTGCTCTACTACTGTACTTTTCAAGGGACTGTACTGTAAGATTAAAAACGGTGTCTTTATTTTTGGTTTGTCTTTTACGTATTATTTGTGAAAGGTATTATAAACCTATGACAGCACGGTACTATCTAGCCAACTGTGTTAGTTGGGTACCTAGGCTGACTCTGCTGGACTTAAGAATGCGCTCTCGGAATGGAACCTTTTCGTGTGTAGGGGACTCACTGTATTATTCACAACAGCAGCCTCAGCACCAAGCACAGGTCTGGCTCAATAAATCTGTTCATGAAAAATGTCCCCCTGGCTCCAACAGTGTCCAGAAAGGGGCCGGGGGCGGGGACACGGCAGTTTGGGCGGCTCCCTCTCACCCTCTCTCTGTGAACGTCCCATCCCTTCTCTCCTCCCTGCAGTGAGCTGCCACGGAAGGCGCAGAGATCAGCCACAGCCTGGGCGCGGGGGAGCTTCCAAGCCTGTCCTGTCCAGCTGAACCG